AAACACACAGCCAGTTACAGCTGCAGGCAGCATGCACTCATCCACATCTGGAAAGATGGAGAATGATGTAGAAAGCACTTTGTTCATGAACATAAATGAATAAATACACACAGCCACACACACATACCCGTGCAGGAGGTCTGGTCATCAGCTGATTGATAGCCGTCATCACAGCTGCACTTAAAGGATCCAAATGTGTTGATGCATCTCTGCCGACAGCGGTACTGCCCCTCCACACACTCATCTAAATCTACACACATGCAAACAATAATTATTGCATACATAGAAAATACATTTCTGACACTGATTTAATAAAAGACAAATGCATGTGTTGATCGGACAAAAACACAGAGTCCGTGGCTGCACTGAGATGAAAGAAACAAGCAGCAGATGAAAGGTGGTCACTCTGAAACAAGCTGGAATCTGAAACCTCATTAATGTGCCTCCATGTTTGCTTGCTGTTTCTGACTGTAATGAGCAAACCATAACACAGATGTTTTCTGACTTCCTGCTCTTCAGAAAAAAGAAACAAGGATGTGCAGAAAGGAGTCAGAGAGCTTAGATATCAGCTCTACACTTATTTTCCTGCCATCAAGGAAAGAACCATTTCCCCAACCTGACATTTTTCCATACACCTAAGAGGTCTTTTCGGCAGAAATTAAAGAGGTACTTATAATGTAAACTTACTCATGTAAAAGTAACAATATTGCCCTGTTAAAGTACATTTCCTACATTTAAAGGTTTCACTAAAAGTAAAAGTGCTGTATTAAAGTGCTGCTTGTTGGCGAGAATAGTCCCTTTCAGAGAGTTATTTTAGCGTGTTATTGGAATATTATCAATAATGCTTGAACACATAAGCAGCATTTTAATTGTATACCTGGTGAAGGAAAAAGCCAATTTAACTACTTTTTATATTGTTAGATCTATATAGTACCTCAATATCACCTTTATATATAATCATTAAGGATAGTTTGTAAAATCTTAATAAAAACAAATAAATAATTATATAATGTAAAGGGTCCCATAATTCACAAAAGCTGAAATGATTCAGTGTGTCAGATAAATGTAGGAGAGTAAAAAGTATTGTTTATAGAAGCAAACAATGAAACTCAAGCAAATAAATAGAACCTCAACATTATTTTTAAAGTACAGTATTTAACAATTATTACTTGATGCGTCGCACTATAGAAGACTATATAGAGTCTAGAGTAGACCAATTCTGGAGGGAAAAAAATGACCCCTTTTAAAAATAAATGCTCTTATTTTAACTGTCTGTCAGACAGGAATGTTTATGGCCTTTATTTTACTTGCTGTGGAATTCTCAGGCTGAAACTAAACTATAATCAGTCTAACCACAATGTCTGGACAGGACTATCTGTCCGAGAGCACACTGATAATAACACTGTTAAAAAATAATATCAACACCATCCGATGATGGCTCTCTCAAATGACAGGCTGTCAAGAGAGCAGGCACGCGTAACAAAATATAAAGTCAATGTCAGCCTTTAAGTGCTGAAGGGTGACCGTGCTGCCATGAATTTCACGGCTCACTTGTGAGGCATGAAACATCCAACACATAAAACATGTGAAGGAGATTCCCAGTTGTGCTGTAACACGCCTCAGTGCACACTGTGTTGTTATTAGGAAGAGCAGGGCGTCCACAGAGGATTCAGGAAGAATGTTACAAGAAAAAAAGAAAAAGATGAATCTGCTCACCTCGACATGTTCTCCCATCCTCCACCAGAGTGAATCCTGCTTTGCAGTGGCACTGAGTTATGGTGTGGGTCTGCTTGGAGCTCTGGTTGAGGTGCTGGGAGAGAGAGCACAGCTGTGAACAGCCTCCGTTGTTTACTGAACATGGTGTCAGCTCTGGAGACAAACAGGGAAGATGGCTCAATTCAAGGGGAAAGAATAAAGTGCATGGGTCGTTTAAACATTTCCAATAAGAGACATTTATTTAAGAATTTGTATGAGTGCAGAATAAATCAGAGTCAAATTGAAAACATCATAGGAAGTGAAACTTTAAAGGGGACACTAATATTTTTTATTCTAAGTTATCTTTGCGGCACCTACAATCCACTGATAATAACACTTAAAATATAATTTAAATAATGCAGGAAAACCTCCTTTTACCAACAATAAAAGATTGAAAGATGAAAAATACTACTATTGGGAAGTATACTGTCGATTCAGTACCTTGCACCTTCCCATCAGCACATCTTTCCTTTCCCATGTCAGCATTTTCGAATGAATCAAAGTACTTTTGAAGCAGCGACTCCACCTACCCAGACAAACAGGCGTGGTGCCGCTCCAGACGCCCCCCCGCTGGCAGTAGCTGTGTATGTCTCCATGAGCCAGCGTATAACCAGGATAGCAGGCATACTGGATGTACTGTTTGTATTCTGTGGGACCTGGATTCTCCACATTATGTAAATAGAAGGTCCCATGAGCGGGCACAGGTGGGTGCGTGCACACTGAGAGTCTGCTGAGAGTCAGAGACAGCGGAGGGGGTGTAGAGGTGGTGTTGTGGTATTCAGAACCATTAGATCTGGACTCAGTGGGGCTGGAAGTGTTTGAAGAAACATTAGTTTTAATATTGGACTGGGTGGGGTTGGGATGGAAGGGTGATAAGGAAGGGGAAGGTGATGAAGCTCTGGTAGATGTTAAATGAACAGATACAGTTGGTAAAGTCTCTGTGGGATCCACCTTTCCTCCAGAAGGCTGAGACGAAGGAGGATACTGGAAACTAGTTTCAACCTGCTGCTCTTTATCAGTTTGTAAGGAGCTTGTTACAACTTCAGAGGGAGACACATCATCCCAGGATGTGACAGGTTCTCCGGATGAGAACTCGGTTTCACTGCTGGGCACTGGAAGAGAAGATTTTGTGTGTTGGAGCGGGGTAAACATCACAGTATTCGTGACAGCAGTGAGAGCTTGTGTAAGGGCTGTTGAAAGTAATGGTGGTGGTGAGGGTGTTGATTGTTCTGGTTTGGACACTAATGATAAGCTCGATGGGATAATGGTAGACAGAAGTGATTTAGAGGCATCTTCATACACCTTCTCTGTTTCCTCCTGTGAGGATTTTGCCTGCGAGCTATTTCTCCCAATTCCTGTTTCTGCCACTGGAGATTTGTTTGCCTCTTGATGATTTGTCTCAACACTATCTTCAGATTTAAAATTGTGACCATTCTGCTGCAAGTGGACTTTTGGGTGCGTCACTTTAATCCTCTCACTGCTGGACATTTGAGGTGGAGCGTGAGACAAACTTAATTTGAGGTTTGATTCTTTGGAGGCAGTATTAGCGAGGGTGTCGTAGTGGGATTGTTGTTGAGTCTTCAGAACTACGGCAGCCTGCAGATTCTGCAGTGTGTTTGGTTTTTGCACACTGACACCTGAAGACAAGCCCATCAAGTCTAACTCTAACAGGGAAAAGAGGAAAAAATAGTGTAATGAATTTCTATCAACACTAATGTACTTTATTGGTAACAATCTTGTCATCTAACTTTCTGCTTAAAAGTAAATTTGCTGATTTTCAAAAATGTCAAACTGTTGATTTTGCTTTTGTTATGCTCACCTTTGCATACAGGCTTTGTGCTATTCCAGATGTGGCCCTTACAGTATAACATAGAGGGCCCCTGTAGTCGAAAGCCACTATGACAGCTGAACACCGTCCAGGAGCCATCGTCATTCATGTTGCTTGTCCCGTGTGTCGGGGGCCCTGGGTTAGTGCAGCCGGAGCCTGGAAGAGGGAGAAAACATCATGAAAAGCAATTCACAGTTTGAGACTGAACAGGGAACTTTGTTGCCTTGGTGGTCAACTCTGTACTTCACTGTAATACAATCAATAAATAGTCTAAACAAAAGTTGAGACAAAGGAGTTATGGTATTCTCTTAATGCATCTCCAGACAAATACAGAAATCCTAAAATCAACCACGATCAAGTGACCCTCCTTACCGACACACACCGGGGTGTTCCGGGACCAGATCCCAGACACACAGCTGTTAGTTTTGTATCCATGGAGCTTGTAGCCAGGACGACAGCGAAAGATCACCAGCAGTCCTCCGTAACGGAAAAACGTCTGCCCGTTCTCCAGGTGTCTAAAACTGCTGCATCCCTCCGCTCCACGCGCTGTGAGACATTTTCACAGTGAATGTGTGTAAAACATTGCTTACTCTAAACAAAACACAAGTGTTAGAATTATTGAAGAAGTACCTGCAGTGTAGATGCAGAGCAGAGCGACCAGTGCTGCCAGGAGCCCCATCTGAACTCAGCTGGGATGTGAGGCTAAAGAGAAGTACTTGGATGGTGAAAGTTGGAAGTGTATTATGAGAGGTTGAAGATTAAGGGGAGGGGAGATGTGGTCTGGGATGACTACAGGATGGGCAGACTGGAGGAAGAAAGTGAGGAGGGAGGGGTAAGATAGTGCACACCCAAAACACTCTGACAGATGGATAGGTGACAGGGGAAATGCTGTTTGAACCTGCTTTAAAGTAAGTAGCAACACTTTTACTTCTTATAAAGTGACATTATGCTTGAGTCAGACACTCAAACAATCAGTAAAAACATCTATTCCCCCTCCCTTTTTTTCTTCTGTAGCCTCTTGAAACTAAGAACTGTGTGCATGTGCCTTAAGTGTGTGTGTGTGTGTGTGTGTGTTCTGCACACTTGTTCAATAAAATCTGAACCCCTCGTTTTCTCTAACAGGATGCCTGGGCCTGTTTTACAGCTCTCACCGTGTGGTAATTACAGTGGGTGGGATGTGAAGACTAGACACACACACACACACACACACACACACACACACACACACACACACACACACACACACACACACACACACACACACACACACACACACACACACACACACACACACACACACACACACACACACACACACACACACACACACACACACACACACACACACACAAAAACCCAGAGTCCAAATACATACACAAGGTACAACTATTAGTTCAAAAAAAGTAATTTTATTCTCTCTTGGTTAACAACTGAACATGCACTTCCCGACACCCTATAGTGGGATTGTCTCTATTGTTCATACTGTTGAAGCCGTCAGGCATCAATACATGTAATACTACAGAGCGTGGCAGCACACTGGTACTCCTGCTGTACACCTGTTTCTCACAAGTCTGCAAAGGCTGTTAGAGCTGTACTAAATTTACTTAAAAAGCTAATTGTAAATCTTCTTTGGATGAAAGTGTTATATAAGTGAAGATCAAAATACCATAATCATTCTAAATACTGTTACATTTCCATCCATCTAAAGTTCGTCCAGCTATTTCATGTCAAAACAATATAAAATCAGCTGGTGGCACTAGATTAAAAGAGAATACATCCCCATTAGTAATTAAGCATCATTGTTGTAAAACTATGAATGAATGTTCTGAAAACGCTTGCCTGCTGCAAGATGAATGTCAGAGGAAGTCTTAGAAACATATCGTCTGGGAAACATAAATGTCTTCGCAAACATTCAAGGAAATCCTTCAAATTATGGTTGAAATATTTCAATTTTAAATCAAAAAGGTGGATGGAAGGATCCTAAACAACGACTCCTACGACTGACAGAATGCATCAATAACGTAAGGTACATCACCAAATAACAGCCATTCTAGTTTTCAAATTGTGTATTTTTCATTCAACAACTGAATAAATACTTAATAATTCAATCTTTGCCACACCCCCTCGTTCCCTCCTGCTGTTCCATGCAAGACTTCCAGTGTATTATTCAGATTCCCTCCTTCATGAATACTTGTCTCCATCCATTTTTTCGTTGAGTTGCTGATCCTTATTTTCCAATTTGTGTACCACTCTGAAGGCCTCTAAGAACTCAGTGAAGTCTATACTGCCGTCTTTGTTGAAGTCGATACTTCGGGCGAGGTCATCGATGGCTCTGTCGTCGATGTCGACCCCCAGGTGTGCGCTGAAGAGATGCCAGATGTGACGAAACTCCTCGATGGAGATCAGACCTGACCAACACACGTACTCACATAAACTAAACTGTGTGGAAAGTTAGTGACAAATCATTTTTAAAGAGTTTCAACACATTTTACCTGAATGGTCTTTGTCTATAATGTTGAATATTATCTCAATGTCTGTCCTGTATCTGAAAAGGGTCTCAGCCATGTTTGGTGTCACCTAAAAGAAGAAAAGAGGAAAAGAAAACAGGAGACTACTAAACAACCACTACCTGCTGTGGGTACATTTCAACTATAATCCTTAAAGTAGGGAAGAACGGTAAAAGCATTGCATTAAAGTTTCAGTTTAAATTATCAGGACTACAGCAATTCATAATTTGGTAGCTGTTTGATGAAAAACCTGAACTCTTACATTTGATTTTTATTAAATGATGTGAAAAAACTATTTTGTTTTGTAATACTTTAAACTATCTAGCTTTTAAAAAAGTTCCTGAAATCTACAGGCATCAAATTAACCCAGTGAAGACAAAGTCAAAACATTCTCTTACCTGAGGCAGAGGAATCCCTGATTCCATGTCCTCAAAGCAGGATTTGTACTCCACACTGCCATCTGGTGCCAGACGGGCTAAGTGAGGACGAAGTGTCCTCCAGGGCAGGTCCAGCCTCAGGACAGACTCCAACACCTGAGCCCAATCACTGACTGATACATTACCTGAGAAAACAGATGTAATTATTTCATATAACAACTCTACATGTCATCCTGGGTAAACAGGTGTTTATTAGTGAGGCAAACAGAGTTACCGGTGTTTTTGTGGTCGTACTGCTGCAGGCCTGAAAGCAGCTCAGAGCGGTGAGAGAACAGCTTCTCCTTCAGGGCCTTGAGAGCAGAGCCTTCAGCAACTCGTACTCTGCAGACAAACACACAAACAAATGACAGATAATGGCTGCAAAACATGTGGATCTATTATGGGATGTTTTGGGATATTTAACAGACACATTTAGAAGAATGCTCCAATGGAGACATTGAAACAGGCTTATAAATGAACTATTCTATTAAATGTACCATCCTATTTGTTTTTTGTTTGAATTAACTTATCAATTATTCGACTTTTTGTTTTAATACTGTTGAGTTTTGGGTTATCCGCCCCATTTTTCGAGCTCAGTTGTACCTCTGTGTGAGGGTGAGTTTGCGTGTTGTGTGGCTGACTTGGTACTGGTAGAAGCGGGGAACCAGTTCTCGGCCCACTTTGATGTAGGCACCACGGTTGCTCCCCTCCTCATAGTAGTTTGACGCTGAGAAGATGGTGATGACCTGTACAACAAAAATGCACACATTTACTTCTCAAGACTCAGGACAATCTGAATTATGTTTTGCCTCTCCCCTTCCATCTACCTTTCCACCATGACAGAGCTCATATCCTTCCTGTTTGCACTCGTGGGATCGGATGAGCAGCTGGAGTCCGTGTCGGGTCAGCAGTCTCTGGGTGACGTCCGGACCAAAGTAGCAGCCTCCTCCTCTGAATATGTTGGGACTGCAGCCTTCTTGAGTTTTAGGGTCACTCCACAAAATATCCACTATCTGCAGGAGAGTGAAAAACAGATGACAAGTGCACAATAGGACACAGAACACAGTAGAGCAGAATTGAATTCTGAGTTTCAGGAAAAAAGATTCGCTCACTTTTTGTCCTGATCCATTTATATAAAAATCTGTCTGAAAATGAGTTGATTCGATTTTGGCCACTTTATGATGTCATAAGGATTTTTGGGCTTGTGTAACCATTAGCCAATAACCAACCAAGGTAAGGATGAAAGAGTAATTAAGGAGCACTATTGGAGTGACTTTGATGGTTATTGGACTCAGGATTAATTCATTTGGATTCCCGCTGTATGAAGAAATTAAAGGAAGGCGCGGAAGTGGAAACAATTCACAAAGGGATTAAACTGTTTAAAACACATGCTCAAAGTAAGCCGGATTTTGCCGTTGTGTTTATGTGGATTCAAAAGTCGTAAATAATCTACAAAATGGAGGAGACCGATCTGATCGGAGCAACTGACAAATAATCCAACTGAAACCATGTTTTAAAAATGCGCTTATCCAGAAAAGCCTGGTTTGGACACTTTACGGGCGGAAGAAACATTTCTATTAAAGAAACAATTATACATTTCTGTCTTTGTATGCCTTTAACAGCTACTAACTTGAATTTTTATTCAAATGAATCAATCAATTATTTTTTATATTTTATTGTAATAGACAAGGCCTTTTACAATTATATGTATACAAAAAAAAAAAGTCTAAATATGATATTTGGCCTCAAATCATCTGAGGCCAGGCCAGGCCAGGCCTGGCCTGGCCTCAGATGATTTGAGGCCAAATATCATATTTAGACTTTTTTTTTTTTGGCCTGGCCAGGACTCGGACTCGTGAATTTCCCCCCCAACGATGACTCGGACTTGACTTGTACATTGACGCTCCGACTTGGACTCGAGCAAATTTTCTCTGGAGTCTGATGTCCTCTATCCTGGCGTGTGCACCTGCGAGGCGAGTTCAGTACTGGGCCCCGCTATTCCAGTCTAAAGATGTCTAGATACACCCCGCATCGTGCTGTATGCTTTCACACATTCTGCTTCCACATTGGAAAAAAGCAGCGCTAAATGCTCGTTATGTGGAAACAATATTGAAGAGAAGGCTCCGTAACACATTACTCTAAGGATCGAGTTCAGATATATAGGCTGTCTTGAACACTATCATCAGAGTAACGTGATCTAATCAATAAATAAAGATTCAGCCGATAACACGAAAGCACATGGCTATTTAACATGCAGAATGACGCCATTTTGCATGCTAAGTAGCCATGTGCTTTCTGGGGCTCAATCTTTATTAGTAAACCTATTTAACCGGTAAAAGTTCCTTCAAAATAAGAGTCCCGATCTTATTACTATCAAAATAAAAGTGCAAAACGAAAACTTTACCATAGGAAAATATTGGCATACAAATATAATCACTTAAATAAATATAGTTTATTTATATATAATAATAATAATATTAGTAATAAGCTTTATATTTGTATAGCACCTATTACAAGAATTGTAGCCAAACTCGCTTCACAGCAGTTCAATAGACAGATTAGTATAACATGACAGGATAAAAGCAATGTAGAGGAGCAGCTACATTTCAACACATATATCCACGAAGATTAATACATGAAGACTTGTGACTCGGACTTGACTTGGACTCTTCTTAGGTGACTTGGACTTGGACTCGAACACAGGTAATGATGACTCGGACACTCCTTGGGTGACTCGGACTTGGACTAGGACTCGAACACAAGTAATGATGACTCGGACACTCCTTGGGTGACTCGGACTTGGACTCGACTACGACCCTCCCTTGGTGACTTGGACTCGGACTCGAAGAGTGGTGACTCGAGAGTGACTTGGACTCGTGAATTTGTGGCTTGACTACACCACTGCAGAGGGGCGTGGGGAGTGGCACCTTATTCTCATCTAAAGTAAAATACAGAGAATCAGCACTTTTGAAACAGGGCTGAAACAGAGGGGTTTATGGGATGCTACAATGCATGATCTGTTTGGTATTTCGAGCCAAACACTTCAGAGACATGTTTTGTACATAACTGAGAACTATAATATATTGATGAAAAACAGTATAATAGGGGACCTTTAATGTATTTCCCACTGTATCCTCTGACCTGTTTCCATTCCAGATCATGTTGCAGAGGTAAAGGAGGGGCGACAGAGGACAGGGAGTCCAGGAAAGGCACTTGGAGGACATTGACATTGCAGGGCATGCTGGGAGAAGAAGGGCAAGGACGAGGCGAGAGGGCGGATGGCGTTCGAGGAGAACAGAGTGAAGAGGAGGACGAGGACGATGATGAGGAGGTGGAGACAGTGCTGTCCTGTCGGCGTTGCCCACATCGCCTTTTTCTACAAGAAAGAAGAGAGGGATTGTCATTATAAACAAGAAGTCCTTTTATACACTTTAAGGAACATCAGTGGGCTGCGGTCAGACCTCTGGTTGGGGGTTCTTTGGTTTTTGCTGTGGCTGCAACTGCTGCTGGGACGGGAGCTAGCCGTTGATCTCCCTCTCTTCATCTGCCTTTGGGACTGATCGATGTCCAGCTTCTCCAAACTACGTCTAGGAAACCTTAGGGTGGATTTTACCTTGAAAAGCAGAGGAGAGAGGAAATAAATAAAGTTTGGACAAAGATATTTGTTTTACAAAATGAAGTTCAAGCTGACTTATGTCAAGTGTCTGGTGAGTGGTAAATACAGTTTGTTGAACAGATTGTAAAAACCCTTTGAGGCAATCGGTGATTTTAGATTTTGGGCTATAATGTATATGTATAATGTACCCGACTTAAGACAGGAGTTTAAACTTTATACACATCCTTAGTACAGTATGGACTCTTATGAGGAGTAAATTAAAAAAAAGGTAAAAAAACAAACGTTAAAAGGGTAACAAATAATTGTAAAAATATTTGCAACCATGCACATACTCGTCCTTCTCAAGCAGTATCTTGCTGTATTTCGAGAATAACTTTACCTTCACTGACCTTATGAGAACAGGAGCATGGAGGATTGACCATAAACATACCTAGTGATGTACAACACTGAATGTTTTAAGACCCCTTCTTTATTAAGTTGGATCTTTTTCTTAAAACAAAAATGTATTCATATTTTTTAAATTACCTTTGAATCAAATGACTGTAATGTACAGTATATGTCTCTAATGTAGCCAAGATGACACAGCCAGATGATTTTCACAGAATTTCCTCCTCAAAGAGCTTTTTATCCTCTTTCAGGTAACTAAAGGTTGACGTACTGCAACTGCTGCTTTATCTGAGCTGGATATAAACAAAACAAAAATGCTCGCCATAACATATTCTACACTCATGTGTTTGAAACATTTGTCAACATTATAAAAAACTGGTTTTCTGACCTCTAGTGGTCAACATTGATTATTGCAGTTAAAAGAGTAGAGCTACAGGGAGAAAGGTGGGATCTTGTTTCCTCTCACCTTGTGCCTCTCTATGGAGCTGAGGAAGTCCAGGTCTGTCTGGTCTGATATTCCTCCGTGAACAATCAGGATCTTTCCATCAATGACAGTGGCGACGGGCAGGAGGCTGAAAACGTCCTGAAACAGCTGGAGGATCTCCCTGCCATGAGTCTACAGTCAGACAGATTATTAATCCATCTGCTGTGAAAGCAGTTACATGCCACAACCTGCAGAGCATGCAACTGAGTACAGTACTAGTCACAGCAGAATAATGGCATCTCTCAGGACTCTACTGTACCTTATATTTCTGCATGACTTCTCTTGTGAATCCATATCTGAAACAACAATGTATTTTAGTTTTCCTTCCCTTATATTTTGTGGTAAACCTACATGAATATATGCTTTTTTTCTTCCTACCAACCTTAGGTTCATTATGTGGTCTTCATGGTTTCCTCGGTTCAGGTGCATGTAGTCGGGGTAGAGCAGCAGGTAGGCTAACAGAAGGATTACCACTTCGACTGACTTTTTCCCACGGTCCACAAAGTCCCCATTGAACACATAAGGTGTCTCCGCAGAGGGAAGGCCATTCTGAAACACAGCAACATGTCGTAAAAAATAAACAGATTTCAAATCAGATCTTGCGTGTATGCATGCGTTTGATGTTGCCTTGACTTTTACATTTAATTATATTTTACTTTTATATAAGATCTGATTATATGCATTGAAGACAACTTCTCTGTAGGTAATGAATGGTCAGAAGATACAATTGTTGCCCTGAAAAAATATAGCTTTACAGTACCTTGTAAAATATGAGGAGTAAGTCATCAAGCCGGCCGTGTAGGTCTCCTGTACCAAATAGGAACATCACATAAATGGAACAATTTAAATCCTATTTCTGGCTCAACAGATTTACACTGCAGGTTAAATATTCTACTATGGTATGAAAACCCCTCAACCACCAAACAGTGTGTGTTTTCTATTTAAGTATTCTTGAGTTTAATTAGATGCTAATCGTCAGGAGGAGGCAGCCGGGGAAGAGGAGTCAAGTGCCTGATCAGTCTGCAAATAAACAAAACCGTCATTCTTGAAGCGCTGCTATTAAGATACAGTCAACTGTATTCAAAACACATTCGCAGACATCAGCAATCATTTCATCCGTAAAAGGTTAGTTGCATACAATGGCCCACTTTACTGTGCAATTAAACAGATGCACACAAAGACAGAGACCTAAATGTCCATTGTGACTTAAAAATTAAGAATCTTTAATTATCAAGTGAAACTGTGGTTATGGTCACCCACCACATATAGTGATCTCATTGGTGTAGGATGTCGACAAGTGGGTGATGTTGGGCATCTGTTTGAGGAGCTTCTTGGTCTCGTACAGCAGTTGCAGAACATATCTGGCATGTAGTGTCTATGTGAAGAAAACTGATAAAGCCCCTGACAGCATCCATGTGCAACAAATATGTGTGTGAGGGAGAGAGAGGCATATTACTGTACCTGCTGCTCTTTAAATGCACCCAGGAGAGAGTTGGTATCAGACACGGAGAGAGGAAACGAGAGTCGGGGTCCGCTGTATGACTCTGGAACAGGGATCAGGTTGTAGCCCGTCTCTCTGCCTAACCAGGGGTCCACCACCGGGTCCAGCAGCTGAGAGATCAAGTCTGAGGGACACAGCGTGAGGAGAAGGGGCCACACTGAGCTTATGTAGAAAAAGCTCAATACTGAAAGTAGGGCTTGGAAATAAAATCCCAGTATATGTTATGTTATCCCACAATTTCAATATGTATTTGTGATATACATATGGGAAACTGAAAGATGGATACTGTTTTAGCAAAAACAGACAATTATGATGATTAAAAGTGAGAAATTAAATGATGTTGCAGAATACAGTCATCGTTCAAACAGGACATTTAGAGGAGCACCAAAATCAAAAAGGAGATCCCTACGTGGTTTCAGTGCCACAAAATACCTTTAATTATTATTATATTAATATTTCTGTTATTATCTGTTTCTGTGTCAAGACAGAAAGTCGATTAAAACTCTGAATAGTAAATCCAATGATTGAACACGTCAAAGTCTATTTAAGTTTTGGGAAGCACAACTGCATATGTAAAAAAGTTCAATAAAACCTTTTATGGCTTTAACTGAACGCAATCGGATAAATATGATGTCAACTGAGTAATGTTAGAGTAAGAAAAAGTTGGGCATCAGTAAGAAAGAAGTGAGCTAAACAGATCTGCCCCTACTTATCTATGCTTGAGGCTAGCGGAGCAATGCTACATTAGCCCACTCATTCTGAGTTCTATTGTGGTTAATGTAGGCCCAATGGTTTTGACAAGCAATAATTTCAAAAAGTGTAAAATAAAAAAGATAAGCAAACAATGATGTTTCATGAATCTGCATGGTTCATTATTATCATTATTATTATTATTATCATTGCAGTTCTTCGTCACATCAAATAGGGTGTTATAGTGCAATTTGCAATGAAATTAACTATTAAATGCGAAAAAAATATTAAAGGTTTACCCACTGAATTAAAATCCAGTTTACAGATTTTAATTTATAGGTCCTCGTAACAAACAGCTTGACACAGCACCACATCCAGCTCTGTGTCCTCACTGTTGCAATAACAGACCACTCCAACATGCTAATGTAACCTCTAATTTATGCAAACAAACAAGAACAGTCATCTACCTCCAGGCCTATTTCTCTATTGTAAGTCTTTTGTCTATTTCCCCTTTATGGTCTATTAAATGTCCTTAATTTTTTTGCCACACAGACATAAACAGATGGATAATATTAAATACAAACAACAAAATCTTTGCATCCCTTATGTTGACTGGATGCATATCCATGGAGAGGATGTGTTGTATATGTTACGCAGTAAGGACTGACCTAAATATTAGCTAGTTAATGGAGCCTTATGCTTTTTAGTTGGACATACTTCAGCCACAGCTGTGTCAGTGCAACACATTTGGCTCCACATTCACAGTAGTTGCTAAGCAACAGGGTATACGCAATGGGTTTCTATTGCAGACCAAAATACAGCATGCCTAACAAAGCTGGTGTTAATTACATGGAGGTAAGAGTGGATCATTTAAAATGTTGATCCGTCTCTATTTCTGTTTACCAAAAAGTAGTATATAATAAACCTAAACAACAGAATAAAAATAAGCACTAACAAAAGCGAAATGGTTCAAATAACCTCACACATTTCAGTCTCGGTATGTCTGAGACACAGGCATTCCTGAGTTAATGCTTTACATGTACAGCGCAGTGCACTGCATTCATAAAATGAACACTGTTATCAAATGCTTTTACTTCAAAATGAACTTTACCTTCAACATTTCAAAATAACAAAGTGTTTTTATACTCATAATAATACTATCTAACTCCTTCAACACTCAACATTATATAGATACAAATAATATTTAGTCTCCTAACCTGGTCCATTTTCATTCAGCTGAGTAAAGTTGTCGAGCATGAAACTGAAGAAACTTGAGAGCTATAGAGGAAAAACAAAATATGTTTTAGCTTTCTGGTGCTTCTGAGTTTGTAAGTAGGATAAAGTTGCTGTGCTGAGAGTCACCTGTAGCTGGTCCTGTTCCCCGGCATATTCAATGGACTGGAAGATGTTCCAGGTGTACCTGCGCCTCATCTCCAGACGGGCCATGTAGCGCCGGTACCATCGCTGGATCAGAACCGCTGCCTTCATAGCTATGACAAAATCCCAGCTGTTACATTTCATTTGGATGGGAGACATGTTTGAACATCTGGAGTCACAGTTATACAGTACATTAACATTACTTGTGACTGTTATTTAGTATTTCAGAATTTCTATTTGATGGGAAGTCACAGGAGTATTTATCTTTGTTTTTAAATTTGAGAATGCATTCTGATCAAAAAGCTGAATTATATAGCACATTTGGTAAATCTTCACATAAAAAGGCCTGAAATGCAAATGCCACAGACTTTAGAAATGAGTAGGGTCTTACTCAGAGCAGGGCAGGGAGTCTTAGCTGTGTCATCTGTGAGGACAAGAAAATAAACTACAATTCAGCAAAAGTAACAGGTAATGAAACCCCACCCACCCACCCACCCACACACACACACACCCACACACACCCACACCCACACCCACACACACACACACACACACACCACACACACACACACACACACACACACACACACACACACACACACACACACACACACACACACACACACACACACACACACACACACACACACACACACACACACACACACACACACACACACACACAAGATAACAAGACACAGGGGAGGTCTCATGAGCAACAGTGAGACTGGAAAAGCAAAGCAAATTAAAAGAGCTTTCAGGAGAGACAGCACTCATTAAAGAGAGAAGACAGACTGTGAAGACAGAGAAGCACCTACTGTCAAACACCTGGCGTCTGGGGGCAACAAGTCGGAGGAAAATGTACTACAGCAACAAATTAATTACCATCACATTCATACTACGCAGTGTGACATGGAGATGCATATTGAGATACTATGACTACTGCAAACAATACACAGTTTAAAGAGCACACATCATTTAAGATAACGCTTTACAGAGGACATCAACAAGGTAAAAAAGGAGCAAGAAAAGTACTGCAACTCTGATTATTTAAATCATCGAATAGTATACCAGTTAATCTTTTAATTAATCCATTTTAGTTATGTCCAAATACCCATCACAGAATCCAAGATGATATATTCAAATGTAATTTTTCAGAAACCCTGGATATATTCAGTTTACAATATCGTAAAAAAGTAATCCTCATTTTTGAGAAGAGGCAAAAGAGTTTTAAGGTCAATTTCAATTTTTGAAAATAACTGAAATGATTGATCAATTATCAAAAGATTGTGAATTCATTTTCTGTCGATCAATTCATTGAATATTTGTTTCAGCTCTAGTTTTCAATGTAGACTGAGAAGAGGATAAGTATATTTGGGAATCTAGACTCTGATTTAAAACATTGAATATTGGACTGTATCAAGGTATTTAGATACAGATTTAGATTTACAAAAATAAGTTTTTCTAAGCTTGAACTCTAATTAGTATCAAGCACGTATGGAGTATTTTCACTCATCTGGACTCCCACCATGTCAGCATCACTTTTTTTTTACCTGGCTCAACTATTTTCCCTCGAGTCTCCGTAGCAACGGAGGTGCCACATCCCATGATGACCAACAAAGAGTTCCCGAAGATCACATCAGTCAGTTTTTCCAAAGCTGAGTCATATATGGCTGGTGGTAAGAGACTGCTACCCAGAGACCTGAAAAGTAACAACAGTACTGAGCTGCATGATTCAGCTGTAAAACAGTGAAGTTTGTATTAGGTCGAATATAAACAACTAAAAACTAAAATAAATGAAAATGGATTGTTTTGACAGAAAATTCACTCCGGATACAGTAGCATCTTCATCATTTTCTCAGACTTCAGTCAGAGGATGTTTAGCTCACATCTAAGCCTCACTCAGGGTTATACAATACATTACTATTGGAATGACACAACCAACTCTATTTTTGCAATACCTCCATGCCAACGTGCCCATATTAGTGAAAATGATACTAAACTAATTAAAATAAGTGTGTCTTATGGCACTTCTTTTTTGATTAACGAAATGTGATGAATTTATTTGACTAAAGTATTTAAATAGATCATTCAGTTTAGACAAGTTTCCATGTCATGTGATCCAGTGACTCCAAATCAATGCAGCATTGTATTTCTGGACAGATGGGTGAATTCAAATCCATACCAGATATTAGCAAGAAGGACACTCATTTTAATTGGATTATCCAGATAAAAGTCTGGATTTTGTTCAATAGTTTACATGTTATGTTGCACAATCACTCAAAACCAATGTAGCATAGTTTTACTACACTGGACAGCTTTTTTTTTTTTCAAATTGTATTTTTGTCCAGCTCCTATTTATGTAAATATCCTAATGAAAATGTAGATGTTTTTGTTGAAAAGTCTCATATCCGTTTGATAGTAGTGACTCCAAATCAATGCTCCATTGTACTGCAGCACTGGGAGTGACTTGGATCGGAATATCCAACCTAAAACTAACTTCACAGCGTTGTTTGACAGAAAGAAAATAATCGAGCAACTCTTTAATTTATCAAATCTCTTTCACGTCCTGGGAACACATTACCACGTCACCAGGCTTTAATATAAAAACACAAGAAACATGGGGATACACTTAGTCTTATAAATGGCTTCTTATCACGCCCCAATACTCTCAAACAAACCGTTTAATATTGTACAGAATCAAAAAGAAAATATTGCTAACTGCGCATCATTTCAATCCACATGTTATTCCAAGGAAGTGTTTATGTATGCATTCGGTGCAAATAAATCATATTGTTTGTTTTCCTACCTGCAGCTTGTATCCGCGCAAGCCGGAAATCATGATAGAAAAAGAAAAACTTGCGTCAAAACGGCACAAAAAAAAATTCGAGTTTAAAGATGATCCAGCGGGGAAAGTGTTTCAGATATCGGAGCTGAGAGGAGGAGAGAGCCCAGCGAGAGGCGGAGCAGCAGCAAGTGGATTCTCAGACAAACGACACAAAAACTCTATTTATCTCTTCTGTTCCTCAAAGCACAAATATTCCCCAGGTAATATTCACGCTCTGTTCTGTGCCTCGATTCCACGAGGGCTCCTGACAAGATGTGATGGAAACTACTAGCCATGAAGTTTGTTATGATCCTCAGGATACTTTCTAATAATCTTTACTCTGGCGCCACCTTCAGACCAGTTTTAACCATTTAACCCAAAATGTGTTTTTATGTGTGTGAACAGCATTTTAAAATGCAGCCATCTGGTTTTTAAAACACCATTAAATAACCACGTTCAAGCTTTAAACATTATCCACATGTGTCGGCAAGTTACTGTAATAAATGTCCCCATTATAACATTTAATCACTACATTTACAATTATTTTGAGAGCCGAGATGGAATTTGAGTGCGAACGATTGGTGAGAACAATTTAACAACTTTAGCGTTAATTTTTAGAATCTCTACCTTTGCTTATTAAAAAAAACAAAACCATTTAAAAAACACTTTAAAAAAAATTAAAGTGTTGTTGCAGTTGTACGTTTTGAATGCAGACACCAAAATGAGTAGTGGTTACTTGAAATGGAGTTCACCATCAAACTCAAGCTGTGATATATACATATTTCAGTATTAAGGCTACTATGAGTAATGTGCATCAAATCAAAACGTGTCCTGCAAATATTGACATTTTAAATTGTACAACTTGGATTTAAATGAAAGGTTGTCATTAATTACATGATTAAACGTACTTAAGAGTGAGTAGGCCTCATTTGAATGTACTGACCGACTTGTTAAAGCATGCATGACTTTAAAAAAAAGGGAAAAAGGCAACAGTATAAAAATAAATATTTATTTAATGTTAAAAGTTAAAATGACGACATTTTGCAACTCGTCATGCTGCAGCTCTTGTACGAATCCTCCTCTGAACAATTATGACAGCAGCTCTGATCTCATGCAGAGTGATCACCTTCAGTCTGTTGCTTTTTGACAGCCGGGACGCCTCGGAGCTCACCAGTCTGAGCAGGACTGGCTTTGGAAAACTGAGTCGACCAGCAAGGAAGTCCGGAATCTTCATCCCAGCCGGATGCACCTGCAGAACAAGAAAGATGAAAATTCACAAGTGGGACCCTTTTCATGGTCTCAATCTAAAGCATTGTTCCCTGCAAAGTCCACTTAGGACAGGATTTGTATTAACTAATCTTAAAAAAGTCACCTATTATGCAAAATCCACATGTTCATGTATTTTATAATGTGTCCCCTCTGTGTAAAGAGATTCTGAAAATTTCAGGAAAAAGGATTCGCTCACTTTTTCTCCTGATCCATTTATATAAAAACCTGTCTGAAAATGAGCTGATCAGATTTTGGCCACTTTATGATGTCATAACGATTTGTTGGCTTCTGTAAACATTAGCCAATAACCAACCAAGGTAACCAGTTTATCACTTGAATGTCCTCCTAAAAGCATCACATTTAACAATTGTGTTCTTTTTAACCAAATATCTCATCTAAAGTAACAGACAGAGAGTCAACACTTTTGAAACGGAGGGGATTATGGAATGCTACAATGTTTGATCTGTTGGTATTTCGAGCCAAACACTTCAGAGACATGTTTTGGATATATATCTGAGACCTATAATATATTGATCCTAAGGGAGTGCATGTACGTAGACACGTTGTGCCTCTCCACCTCTGTTCCTTACCCTCAACCTATCCTAAGGGAGTGCATGTACGTAGACATGTTAGTTTTGCTGCTATAGGCTTAGACTGTCGGGGGACTTCTTACTTCTTCCTTCTGTCTGTCTGTACTCATGTTCCGAATAACCCAGCTTCCCCCACATTTCTTTTTGGTGTCCATTTACGCCGGGATCCTGAGTCATGGCTGATCCTGTTGCTGCGGTCCTGTGTCCTGGATCCTGAATCATGTGTCCTGGATCCTGCATCCCGAGTTCTGGATTTGAGTCCTGGACTTCGAGTCGTGGCTGAACCGGTCTCTGTGGTCCTGCCTGACTCATCATACTACTTCCCTGATGGCTCCCACAGGATTGTTGACATCCTCGTGGATTAATCTTCTTATTATAGACACATGCATTTCCAAACATTTGGTCTACCTACGCTGTAAAATGTATTATCTCTTAGATTTACACACGGCATCTATTGCACGTCTGTCCGTCCTGGGAGAGGGATCCCTCCTCTGTTGCTCTCCCTGAGGTTTCTCCCATTTTCCCCTCAAACTGTGAGTTTTCTTTGGAAGTTTTTCCTTGTACGATGTGAGGGTCTAAGGACAGAGGGTGTCGTATTGTCATACTGATATTCTGTACAAACTGTGAAGTCCATTGAGACAAATGTAACATTTGTGATATTGGGCCTTATCAATAAACATTGATTGATGAAAAACAGTATAATAGGGGACCTTTAACAGCATCTTGTAAAAAGCAAAAATGTTTGATCAAGTTTCAAACATTTGTCTCTGCAAATACTGCTTTAGTTGTAGTTCCTACCTCTTTATGAGCTTTGTAGAGGAGAGTTGAGTAGGCTCTGGACCTCTTCTTTGTCTGTGGAGCAATCCTGCGTGTTGCGCGGGCAGCAGCCTTCATTTTCTGTAACAGTTTTGTAAAAAATCACAGCTTTAAGAAGAAATCAACTGAAGAGCTTTACAGCAACTTTTTCAGCAGGCCAGCAGGAGTGAAGTCAGGATAGGAAAGACGAGTTAAAAAGGCTGTTTTAAATGAACACAGATTGAAGACAGCTGTGCTGAATTAGGCTTAATTACTCTCACCCAGCAGGCCCAGAGTTCAGACAGCCAGAAGGAGGCAGTAATGCAACACTTTGGATGCAAACTGCCGTAAAACACCAAATAAGAAGAAGAGTTCAGACATGTTTGGCCTGAGAGTCTACAGAGGGCAGAACATAATTTAACCATTTGACCCAATACAATGCTGCGCTTGTTTATGACTTTAAAATGCTCAAATGATCTGATCTGATTTGAGAGATAATTGTATAAGTAGAATCATTATCATTATAGTTCTTATGATTTATTTATTTTCTCTCATTTTAAAGTGTACATTTTAATCTCTTAACTGTGACAAGTTGTTTATTAACTTGAATGTGAAGGAGATCAAAATACAAGCAGATTTTATTCAAAAGGACACTTTTTTAAATTGGTGTTAAAAGTGTTTATCTTCATGGGACCATCCTAACATTTGATTAATTTCTGTATCAACGATACTGAATAACTGATACTGATACATCAGTTAAAACATAAACAAGCATTCAAAACGAGAATACCTTGAACTTTAACCTTTGGCTATGGATGATTGTTGACTAAAATATGTGCTCAGTAGTAGTAAAAGTAAACAGACGCTACTAAACGTTTTTCTTCTTCATTACATACATTATAATGATAACCATTAAATAATACAGTTTTTGATTCTTATATTTTCTTTCTTTTTTCATTTTGTTCGTTTCAAAATTTAGCAACATACAAGAAGAGCCATACAGTCAGACACAAGTCGACCGTCTGGTCAATCATATGGATCACAAGGCCCAGCATAAACCATCACTGCCTTCCAACAAAACACACACACACACACACACACACACACACACACACACACACACACACACACGCACGCACGCACGCACGCACGCACGCACGCACGCACGCACGCACGCACGCACGCACGCACGCACACCACAGTCACCACATGGACTTTAGTTTTTTTCTGCAGGATTTTTGACTTGACTTTTGTGGCTTTGCAGTGATTTCCAGACTGTTTGGTGGTTGTGAATGGTCCTGGGTGAACAGCTGTAGGGGGGGCTTTGTCAGATAAGGATGGCATTAGGTAAGGCCATTAGTGTCCTGTGGATTATTGTAATCCAGCCTCTCTTTCACTGCTGGCTTTGTTGCTCAGTCTACAGTTGGTGTCGTCCGGTTTGGAGCAGGTTGGACTATGGCTCTCTATGTGCAGCGTTTCGCGCTCTCCCTGCTTCTTCTGGGAGTTAATGGTAGGATTTCAACCTTTTCACTCTTTCCCATTTATGCTGTACACATAATCTTTGTGATTTAGAAGTGTAACAACTTAAAGTCACCTCAACTGGACAATATGTTGAAGAACCCTGAGTCACTCTAATGTCAAAGGACAAACTTAGGTGACAAATATATCCGATTGTCTTCAGTTACCTTTGAGATAATATTTTAGTTTATTTTTCTAAAACATTGTATGTACTTGATACTCTGCATCTGTGTTGATTTGCTTGTTTTTGTTAAATTGACGGATTAATGCACATATTTTGTTTACTAGAGCGAATGAATGCCATGTCTTAAAAGTCTTTTTTTCTCTCCTGTGTGCTTTCTGTCCATCGTCTGAACAGTGATCATCAGCATTCAAGCTCAAGAGGTAAGAAGAACCCTCGGATTGCAATCTTATAGCGTTCAAATCAAACGTGTTTTATTCATTATTTCAGTTCAGAGTTAAAAAGAAAACTAAACAAAAATAAACTTTTAGATCAGCCACACCACAGACATTTCAGTCTAGAGTTTAGCCATTTCTCCAGAGTTGACATTGGTCAATGTCAAATGATTTTTGTGAAATAAACACAAACACACATAGTGTACAAATCACTATGATGAGACTTTAGAAGCTTCATTCTCTTTGTTGCATAATTGTTTTCTCATTTTAACATGAAATTATTAATTTTATAATTATATATGTTTTGCAAACAAGCTGTATATTAAAACAACAGTATTTACATATATTTATTATTTCTGATTACCCACATTTTTCTGGATGTATTGCATCTATTAATTGTGTTTGTATGTGTTTATATGAGGTGGCAGCGTCTGAGGCGTGGACTGCCAGGTCCTGCAAATGTGACTGTGAGGGAGGTGAGACTCCGACTGAGTTTTCCTCCATTGTGACCGGCTCTCCCAAGGTGAGAGGAGTGGACTGCATGCCAGGTAAGAACTATAAGTATCACCTAACCTCATTTTTCAGTTTTCTAATATAGCCACACTTTGATTGACTTTTGTTGATTAAATGATCAAATTCAATATCTAAATTTACAATAATACTATTAATGAGGACTTATGTCACTGTTAGGTTAAGATAATGAACGAGCAACTTAGAGTGGACGACGACAAGAACTGTATGCTGTATGTCTGATTGTTAAAGCTAACATTATTTTTGTATTATCAATACGTCTGCCCAATATCTCTTCTATTCATTGATGAATTGTTCTGGAAATGAAGTCCAAAGAGGCTAAAACCACCAAATGTGCTGCATATTGCTTAACAATGATTTATAATTAAAAAATCCACAAACCATCTCTGAGGGACAGCTTTAATGTGTGTGTGATGCAGACAGAGAGAAGGGGAATCTCTATATTTGTACATGTTTATGCATGAAGGCATGAGACTCCAGATTTGACACCACAGGGTGGACATGCTCCACTGGACACCCTCAGAGGAGATGATGCAGATGGAGCCATGAAAAGAACCAGAAACACCTACAACAAGGCTGCACACTCCTCTAAATCGGCTATGATGGATCATTTAGTCTGCAACAGCATCTTTATCTACATCAAAACACAATATAGATATCAAGGGATACATCTGTTCATTATTGAGCTTAGAAACAGCTCTTGGTCATCTTTATCAGCAGCAGATGGAAATCTGTCTTTTTCAAATCATTTTAAGGACTCTGCCCGGGGTTTATCTTTCCATGAAAATCTCCATGAAATCTGAAAACCTGTTTTTAAGATCTCTGCAAAGCAACACACATCCAAACAAAAAAAATGACTCCATTGATTTAGCTAGCGATATAAAGCTCACTTGAATCGTGTCAGGCTTGAAGAATGGAGAGAGGCAGAGCGGATGGAGAAAGGGTTTTCTTTTTAGTGAATCAATGAGTGCCATCTGAGCCACAAATCACATGGCAACGGGTGATGGACAGGAGAAAGAAGTTCAGCAGATATTCATTATCTGAGAGCATGATTCTCAGATTACGGGGCCTGTAATAGCCTGTGCCAATTGCACAATAACAGAAACCAGCAATTATCACAACATGGACCTGGTAATGACAAAAGATGAGTGAGAAAGAGATTCCTGCATGGCATCAGATTTTGTTCCACCTCCATCCATTGTGTTTCACCATTAATTCAGCCATCTAAATATGTTTGATTCTTCTTTTGAAATACATAAGGCAGGACTATAAAGTAATTTGCATTACTGTTATGTAAACACTTATCTCCTGACTCACAGAGGCACTTCTGTTACCGCTGCTGTACAGTACAGGGATTAGACAGGATATCACCCTGTAGGCTTAAACCAGTAGTAAACAAAAGCGCAGCAGGATTCTGCTTCACATATCCATAGCTGATGTTATCGCTGAAACTTTAGGGGGAAACAATCTCACTCTTGCAGCGCTCTGATCTCCCCTATCCATGTATTTATAATGCCTTTTTAGTGGAAGAGAGAGGACAGATTGACAGATGAAAACACAGGAGCAACACAGAGCTAAAGCTGCGGAGCGTAGAACATAGCCATCTGTCCGCCTGCCGCCCTAATGGACATCACTGATCTTTCACCGTGGAGAATTAAACTGCAGGCTTTTAGGATGGATATGGGTCACACGGGTTCTCTAACAGCGGGGGCTTTGGGAGCGGGAGAGTGTGAGGATGGGGAGAGAGGAAATTATAGAGGGATGGAGAATTAAGCACCTACGAAGGCTTATAGTGATGATCATTTCCTGCTCAGATTTTCTCAGTGTTTTGTTGCTTAGCTGTTGGCAGACATGTTTGTGTGTCTGACCTTGAAATTCATGCTGCAAGAGAGTCTTAACAAAATGCAATTTCTTCATTAACTAAAACTATTAACTTACAAATAAATGTTTAAGTTAAATAAAGTTAATAAATCTGTCTCTCTTGCTCCTGCAGAGTGTCCGTACCACAAGCCTCTTGGATTTGAGGCCGGGTCAGTGAGTCCGGACCAGATCACCTGCTCCAACCAGGAACAGTACACCGGCTGGTTCTCCTCCTGGGTCCCCAGCAAGGCCCGGCTCAACAGTGAGGGCTTTGGGTAAGTGCTATTTCCAGGTTGTAAACAGCTTACCGACATACTGATATAAAAAAGACAGGCAATGCAAAAATAGATATGATAAATGGAACTGTGAACTATAAAAAAAGAGTGATCTGCTTAGATTCCATGCTCCTGGTATTGCTCAATGTTGCATGCACTGTCACACCATCATGTCTTAATCGGACTCCTGACATCACATGCAGTGTTTGTGTTCCTCCTGCAGGTGTGCCTGGCTCTCTAAGTTTCAGGACAACAGTCAGTGGGTGGAGATCGACCTGATGGAGGTGAAGTTGGTGTCAGGGATCCTCACCCAGGGCCGCTGTGATGCTGATGAGTGGATCACCAAGTACAGCGTCCAGTACCGCACAGACGAAAAGCTCAACTGGATCTATTACAAAGACCAGACTGGAAACAACAGGGTAGAACCCATCAAAACCTATTTAGTGAAGCAATGTAAAAGTCAAGTTACACCGATTGGCCTGATGGGGATCTCATCATTTAATATGTACACTTTTTTAACTTTTAGATTACAGATTTGTGTCTGCAGTATATTCAGTCAGTTTAAATCCACAGTAGTGTAAATGAATCCCTCCTGACCCTTCATTTGTTTCCCTCTCTCAGGTGTTTTACGGAAATTCTGATCGCTCCTCGTCTGTGCAGAACCTCCTGCGGCCGCCCATCGTAGCGCGCTTCATCCGCATCATCCCCCTCGGGTGGCACACACGCATCGCTCTGCGCCTGGAGCTGCTGCTTTGCATGGACAAATGCAAATAAACCTCTCCTCCCGCCATCCCCGAGGCCTTCTCCCGAAACCTCATCCTAATTCCCACCATTGTCTGAGTGTGTGGTCTCGTTATATTCACAGATGTTGCCCCCTCCAGCTAAATGTATAAAACCACAAATTGAAGACAAGACCTTCTGATTTAAAAAAACAATTTGACTTTTGTGATTTCATTAACTGTTCATTTGATGTGCTCAAAGAGCTTCCATTCTCCCCTCTCTCTATTGTCTGTGTTGAACCAGCCTCTCACATCAGGCTTTCATTCGGTGCGTTCTCAATAGATTGCTGCATTTGCAAGGAAATGGCATAAATTCAAAGAAATAATCAGGCATGGAGAGGGAGAGGCAGTGTTGCTATGGAGGTGGTATCCAACAGCTAGACACAAGCTCTTCCAAAAATATTTGTGTCCTCCTGTGAAATCCTGTCTGCTTCTCCTGTAACAGTAAACAAGGACCTTTCACCCTCTGCTCTGTATAATCCTTCAAAGATAAGGCTGGTGTTAATCAACATTCTTTTTACTGTCAACAAATTCCATATACAAAACAATTCATTTGATCATAGTTTTGTTTGTGTGACCAAAGCCACATTTAATATCTGTTGTATTATTCCCCAAAATTATAAATACATATAAATGAGCCACCCTGTTGCATATATGTGACTTAACCATAGATTACTTTAGTTATATTGAGTCAATAGCAAACACATTATCCTGCTGCTTTAAGTACTCAATGTGTATTGATCTGCAGCGTAACATTGACTTTTGGGGGGACCAAAATAAAAAGGATACAATTAGGTTACATAATTGAGTGTGGTTTTACTGCCAGACAGAATTAAAAAAGCCAAAAATAACACTTGCTTTGCTTCTCTGAGAGATTTGTTGATAATAAGGAATCTGTAGAATAATAAGACTTGTTCTTTCAAAACGCCTGTGATGATGTTATTCCCATTTTCTATTTTAGTTGTAACAATTTTAACCTGAAGAACATTTTTACATTCATCTTTTTTCAGTGTGTTTGCAATGTAAAGATAGAGGGATGGATAATGTGCTTGTTGTTAACTCCTGATTAGTTTCATTTGTTTCATTTACTTTCCTGTGGTGCTTTGAAAACTCACTATTTCATTGTATTTACTCTGAAGATGTTTTCTTAATTGTATCTTTAAACTAAATTAACACTTGTTTCATGTCTCTTCTGGTGTTGTGTCTGTCTGTGCTACAAAACAAACATATGAGCCATTCAAAAATGTACAGTTGGCTTTTATTATGAGACCCTATCATTTAAAGTAGAATGGTCAGTATAGATACACTCTTTTATTTCTATTTACACCCTGTAAGAAGTGGGAAACAGCTAAATGAAAAAAGAACGAATGTTTCAGGAAACACATTCATATTCATGAACAAAAGGTCTTCTTCTCATCTCAGTGGTCAGTGTATGTGGCTTGCATGGGGTTCATGTCTTCGTTTCCATCTGAAGTGTTGAGTCAGAAAGCTAATATAAGGCTTCGGGTCACTGGCAAGGCAAGCTTTGTCATCACAATGTCCCATTAATAGTAGAGACAAACCCACTTCAGCAGTCATTTACAATCAGTAGCAACCAGGATTCTCAATAATAAACAACACTGGGCAGTTTTATAGCCCTGGGTCATGTTCAAGGTGAAATTGTAAATAAAAAGTGTATTGCAGAGCGATGTCTTGATATTATATGTGCACACTTTTCTTGCTTTCATCACAGTTTCCTTATGACAATTCTTCTGTGCTATTTGGCTCCTTTTAACTTTGCCAGAACAATCTGCATCAGTCTCTTTCTGAATGTTATTGCCATATAGTCAATTTGTTCATTCCTTTTTTGCTTGTATATATTCATCCTCTCAACAGATGAGAAACAAAACACATGAATTTCTCAAACATTTTCTCTAAAGTCCACAGATGTCTAGAGTTTTTACACAAATGCATTCATTCTTCTTTGTTGTCTCCTGTGATATACAAGCTTCTCCACTAAACTTTAGAACCACAGAGGAAGAAGAAGGAACGAAGGGTTGAGATGAGACTGGAAGGAAAATTATGCTGTATATTCTTCCTAGGCCACTAACAGTGTTTTGTTCTATTTTATTTGTTTGTAATCATCCACAGGTCAGTAGACAACAATTAAATGCTTTTTATGAATAACCTAGTTAAGTAAAATCATCCCTGATTATGACTATCAATATTACAAAATAAAAGTTGTAATGCAAATACAGTAGCAAAACCAAATTCAGATTTACAAAAGGCATTTACAAAAACTTTGAAAACACAAGCTTTTTAAATGCACATGAACAATGTAAACATTAAAAGATAAGTCTTGTGTTATTTAATATCTTTGTTAATTTTGACAAATCCCATGAAAAGAATAAACCCACAGCTGGGGGCATATTACTTCAGGTACCGGTGAGTATTGAAATACAATACGGGAGCCAGTTGGAGTAAGAAATGTTTGCGTGTTAAGGCTTATTAGATACCAAAACAATGCACAAAGGTTATAACACTCTGAAACAGTCTTATTTTAAATCACTGGAAAGTGATAATTGCGGTAACTATTATATTATTATTATTATTATCTGTAATATCAAAAGTTGTGAGAACATAATTATGAAATGAAGTGTTCACATTACAGGCTGCGAGTAATATAATATGAGTAATTCCACAATGTTGTTGAAACTTTTTTTCTGGACTTGATCATCAGATCTTCAAAACCAAAACGTCTAAAGAAGTTCCATAAACAGCTGGGCTGCTCGGTTATGAGTAAACTGTAAAGAAATCCAGGTCAACAGTGAGTTTGTTGGAACTATTTTCAGCAGCGGATTAATACACAGTTGGTTCTATGGTGAGCAAATAGAGCAGCAGGACAGCATGAGGGATTGATTCAAATTAAACTACAGTGCCCATGTTTATGGTAATTGCTCAATTATGTATTCCTATTAGTTTTATGAAAACGGCTTAAGATTTGTTAATATATTAAATATATTATTGGTTTTTTTGTTTTCATGGGATTTGTCAACAAACAAGAAATATAAAATACCAGCAGACTTAACCTTCCTTACTTAAAGGTTGTAGGTGATGTATGCCTTTTGCAGAATGCTCTCCCCCTATTTTGCACAGTTACACGTTGTTCTTGAGTTAGTCCTGCCTCATTTCATAAGGCTTACTTTTCACCACCAAAGGCCGCCAAAGTCTTGATGTTTTTTACTGGCTGTAGACCAAAACAACAGCACAGCAGGTGGCAGCACGGCGCTGGAAAGCTCTTGTCACTGATAAATGAACTGAGAATGGGGCTCATTTAAAAAATGGTGACACCAAGAATGGGACATATAATGATCAGACATTTTCTTATGTAAAGCGCAACAGTCTCACTATTGATGTTCTGCTACCTAACCCTGTTGACAAATAGCCCAACTTGTCACAAAACTCCAAAACTTACTGTAAGTCATGATGGTGAAGCGCAGATTTAGTCTAGATGTGAAGAGAAATATATATTTTTTTACTTTGGGCAACAATATTCATCAATAGTTCTATACATGTGGATGAAACAAATAGAAAAACTGGTAAAAATAAGATGATAAAGCGTGAAAATCGGTAAATAACCTATCAAATTGAACAAAAAAGGACATTCACCATTATTAAATATAATTTTTGACATATTGTATTATTAACACATACATATCTATGCTTTTCTTTGTGTCGAAACTAAAGCTCTTGCAATTACACATTTAATTCTATATTACCTTATAATATTCCCATATAACCTACATACTGTGTCATTTATAGCTTATATCCTTGAATTTAAAACAAATATATATTTAATAAATAATGTTGATATAAACTTTTTTTTTGTTCTTATCAAATAACAGAGCTTGAAAACGTTTGAGTGTCTTGGCCACCGGCCTGACAGAAGTCACTTTGCTGTAGAGTCCTGTGAGCAGAAGATGGCAGCAAAGAGGCCACTAGGTCATCTCTCCTCTCTTTGTTACACACACAGTCACACACAGCTGATACAGTACTGGCATCCCCAGACAGAGTGGGCCATGTCCTCTCGTTGCTTCCCTAAACGACAGTGTTACTGGTGTTCGTGTTTCAGCGTCTGGTCGTTGGATTTTCCAGAAAACAGATGACTATGTTTCTGAATGAAGACTAGATCCAATGAAATAGGCTTTCATGTAAACTTGTACTACAGTACCATGATGTCTGCATCTGGCAGATGCTTCCAGGGTGGAGACGTTTAGGAGGTGGTGTAGTTTTGTGGGCGGGGGGTTTACAGCGCGGTCTCCTTCAGGTCATTGAGGTTTGGCATCCTGACACGGGACGCTCGGGTAAAGGTGGGTCCGTTCTGCCCTGGTTTGATTCCCAGTTGTTCGGGGGTGAACTGAGCGCCCTCCGCCCTCTGCAGAGCAGACACGTGCCAGCTGGACTCGATCTGTCCGGGGAGGGGGTAGCTGGGCTTGCGGCTCTTAGGCTGGGCAGAGCTGCTCACCCCGGGGTGCCCCCTGCTCTCGGTGTGCCCTCGGCCCTCAGGGTAACCCGACTTGGAGGAGGGCTGAGGGGGGTTGGGGAGGGGGGCTTGGAAGCGCAGGTCTGGAGGAGGAGGAGGAGGAGGCTGTCCTTGATTTGAGGAGGAAGGGGAGAGGTGAAGGAGCCTGCGGAGGGACTTGAGTGGTTGACTCTGTGAGGTGGGAAAGAGAAACAGATAATGTAGGACTCTAAAGGAAATATAAAACCCAACAGTGTGTTTATCCCTCTCCAAATCCTCAATACTGTCCTACCCGGTCTGTGTTATTTCCTACTGGAGACTTACATGTCAAAATTAATTAAAGGAATAACTGTTGCAGGAATTTGTAGGCTACATAACAACAATTATTATCTAATTTTCAATTCTAGTTAAACACTATAAGGAGCTGAAATAGACCACCCAGAACAAGCCTGAACAAAATACTACGGCCCTCTTTATTATATATTATTTGATTTTGCTCTATTGAAAAAAAGTCATACAACATCTGTTACCATGAACTAACAATGCAATTTGTGCACTGGACTGCCTCTCTACTGTACAAACAATACATTTGCAACAAGTGGACAACATTCACAAAGGGCTGGCATTCAAATGTATTTTATATGCATATACAGTATGTATAGATATATATGTAGAATGCACTGCTAATGGTAAAATATTGCCATTTTCAACTCAATAAGGCTCAACATCTTCTAAGCCACACTTCCTGCTGATAACGCCTGTATTTCGTTATAGATAACTACATCTTTCACAGTTCATAGGATATCATATTCAGAATCTTAATAATTTATGTATTTAAAATGTCTGTTTTGGCTTAAAATCAACAAGATATTATGATAAGGTCATTTGGTCTTCAGTTTGTAGCTTCATACCTGAGAGTGTGAGTCCACTGGTTTGTCTGTTTGCCAGTCATTAACTCTCTCTCGCTCCCTCCCTCTTTCCCTCTCTCTCTCCCTTTCTCTCTCTCTTTCTCTCTCCCGTTCCCTCTCTCTCTCTCTGTCCCTGTCCCGGTCCCGGCTCTGTTCCCGCTCCCGGTCTCTGTCTCGGGATCTCTCACGGTTTTTCCGTCGGCTGCCGTGGTGAGAGGAGGATTTGGAGCTCCTCTGCAGCGACAGGTGTTCTTGTCCATTTCCAGGAACCTGATGTTTCACAAAAATACAGGAACATAATTAACAACTATAAAAAACAATGACATCATGTTAACTTTATTTCTTTCTATGGCAATGTCACATCTTGAATCCCAGTGAGGTTCTCCATGCACCCCTCTGCAGCACCAGACAAACACGACGCTGTGGTGACGGTGATAAGTGATGACGTTACAGAAAATAAGGTCTACAAAAGTTTTGTGTTTTGAACTAACTGTAACAAACAGTTGGGCTGCAACTAAGACAATGTTATCTATTAAGGACTTCTTTTAAAAAGATATGTTATTTAATTAAACTTTCATCAATCATTTATGGCCATCATAATTTTTCAGAAGTTAAGTTCTTGTTTTGTGTCTCATCAGCCATTCCAAAACAATATTTTGTATACTAACAATAGCAAAAATACAAAAAGCTAATACATTACCTGTATTATAATATATATATAATAACAATATAGATGATCAGAGGGTTATCTATGATTTAGATATTATATGAGAAGAAGTGTTTTAGAGGTCCTGCCACTTGGATTTTGTCACCACACTAGTTGTTTTCCCCTGTTTCCAGTCTTTGTGCTAAGCTAAGCAGCTCTTCATCTAACTCTCGGAAAGAAAGCAAATCAACATAAGGTCAAACTATTCCTCCTCCAGCACAGTGCAGAGTCCAGAGTTGGGTTAAGGAGCTTTTGAACGTTGTCAGTATGTCCATGGATCTCATGTGATACAATGACATTTGAATTGAAACGAATGATACTCGACGTGCAGATGTGTCGCCCTCACAACAACCAGCATACATGTCTCACAATGCAATATGAAAACAAGGCGACCGCATACTGTATGACACACATTATAGCAGAAACATAATGGTTGCACAGACGCCGTGCAGTATTCGACTCAAAATGTATTTGAAATCCTTTCAACTTGAAACGATTCTCAGTCACTCAATAATGAAGCGTTTGAGAGGATTTCAAAGCAGGTCATTCTGGTGAGTGGGGTGTGAGTTAACATGCAGCCGTAGAGTTGAGGTTAGATTACTGGTGAGGCAGGGTAGGGCACGGTAGGCTGGTGCTGTACCATGGGCGAGGCCACTACAGGGAGGACTTTGACAGCTGAGTTGTGCTTTAAGCTATTCTTAGAGCTAAAGAGGGGGAAAAGGCTTTTCTTGATGCTGGGGTTCCTCCCGTCCTCCGTGTCCGTCTGTGGAGCAGAAGACGCACAGCCACAACTCTCAACACAAATCTCTGACAGAAAATAAAAAACATCTGTAGAACCTGATCCTTAATCAGTTCAAGAAATATTACTTACTACTTAAATATAACTACTTGATTGTTAATATACTAGGAAGAAAATTGAGAGTTAAAATTCAGTATTAAGTATTGTGTTTTTTTTTGGTAAACTTCTATGTGTTAACATAACATAATCAAACCAGCCAAAGTATTAGACATTAGCACATCACTACAATACATTCCAATGGGGCAGAAATTAGTTTTTATAAACCACTTTGGATGTAAAACAAAATGTTGGTTATAATTAGGGATGCAGGATATTGGTTTTTTGAAACCGATACCGATACCGATAACTTCCTGCTTCTCAAGACCGATACCGATAATACAAAAAATGTTACGCCACTAATTATTTTAACGCGATTAACGCATGTGTATTTTTTTTCCTTGGCCGCCCCGTAGTTTCAGAGCGCATCGAGTTTAAAATACCATCTACAAGCTGATGCTGACAGCCCCGCTTCTGCCGCCCGCTTGTGGCAGACCACACTTCCACGCTCACCGGCAGGCACCGACCATAGACTGTATATATAAAGGTACCGACTGGCCATCTGGAGGACCGGGAGGGTGTGTGTATGTGTGGCCCGAGCGAGCGAGAGACGTCGTGCATTGTTGTTGTTAGCATCTGGTGCTAGCTAGATGCGCTAACGGATATAAGGAGCTGTTTAAATGAAAACAGAGGAGCGACATTTCGCCACAACTGCACCGAGCACTTGACTTTATGCAGGAAGCCAGACAGTGGGACATTGTACATTGTCAGCACACTCAGCACGGATAGTGCGCAACATGATTGCAGCGTCCAGGCAGCTCCGGTTCGAGCATATGCCTTGAGTTGCACATAGCTCCAACGCCCATACCACCGACGACATGTTTGTTTACTGTCCTGGCTTCACGGCCGCACACCATTTACGTCACAGCCAGGCATGAGATAGGGAGCGCTGGATTTGTGAAGAACTCCCCTCTTCCTAAACCACTAATACCACAGTACTGGCAAAACGGGAGGAGCCGAGTGAAAAACAAGCGCCCCTCATCCCAATCCACCCACACCGCAGTATTTTTTTTCTTTTTACCCAAAAAATATATTGTATATTATCGGGGCTATTAATACTGGTATCGGGTTTATCGGGATGACGTCATAATTCCTAATATCGGACCGATAATTATTGGGCCGATAATTATCGTGCATCCCTAGTTATAATCAAAAGTATGTTTTTTTCATGCACATTTTTTTTTTCAAATTAAACGGTCTGAAGGAGCCTATTGATAAGGATTTACTACCCAGTAAAAATAAACTTCATTAACAAAGGATAAAACGCAACGAACCAAAGGAAATGTGTGCTGGATGAAATGTCTTCAATGATCTTACTATTTGAGTCTTCTTCTTTTTCTTCTTCATGGCTCTAAAGAAGCCTTGTTTCTCCTTCTCTTTGGCGGGCTCTGGAGGATTCATGACCATTGCTTCTGCTGCGGTCCTGTGTGGCAAATTGGAAAATTGTTCAGACTGTATGACTCATGTTTGTGATTACAAGTTTAGGATTAGATGGTGACTTCTTTCGCAGGTGTGTTTCATATGCTAGGGGCACAACCTGAATAGATCATGTTAAAGACCGATGCAGATGTTCTTTGAATCCTTCAGCTGTAATGTGCTTTTTCCATCTTGTATGTATTTCAAATGACCGACGCATCGCAAATGACATCCGTCTCCATCTGTCAGATGTAGCTTGTCAGCCATTGCCATATAAACTAAAGACATTTTAATTGCCCTAGAGTAGACTATGGAGAAAAGTAGCCCTTTTTATGTATGTTATAAATTAGTTGTTCTTGGAATCTTGGATAGTATAAAAACATCAAAGAAACTGTATCTTGGTCACTTCCTATAATACGTATGTGCACTCCTATGGCAATAAATACTATAAATACTACAATAACTGCTTATTTTTCTTCTGCAGAAGAAAGTAAACATGAGTTGAATTCAGTGATATTGCCACATGTTTTCATTAATGTCCTTTCGGTCATTTAGTTGCTGTGATAATACGCTTGTAAAATCTGATCTTAGTTAGTGTTGTAAAAGTGAGAACATTTTAATCATTAAATTATGAGATCATTGTACGTTGTTTTGTAAAGCTCAGTTCCTAACAGAATTAACTATAAATGTGGACGCTTCAAACTGCAGTGTCCTTTACACAGCATTGAGTTCACATCTACTTCAATCAATCAATCAATCAATGTTTATTTATATAGCCCAATATCACAAATGTTACATTTGTCTCAGTGGACTTCACAGTTTGTACATAATATCAGTATGACAATTGACAGTTACTTGACAGTATCCATCCCTGAAGTCGGCAAACATGCTAGGCCAGTTTAAATAAAAACTTCTCACCAGTCAAAAGCCGTCTGGCGTTTGGAGTGGTTGACCATGACGACAGGGTCTCCGGGCAAATTGGAAACAACCGGCCCTCGACCCTGACCGAGAGCATCGTGGAAAGAGGAGGAGTTGTCGGGTCTGGGGGAGGGGACTGACACAAGGAGAGGAAATTAATCAAAGTTTGAGAGCTGTTGTTAAATTAAGAAAAAGTCTACCTGCCCTGGATGTTTCATTTCAATTTACAACACTTGCATTTCCAAAACCCACCATGTCTGTCTTGTCTATTAAAGTGGCCCAAGCTTTTGAATATTTTTTTTGGCAAGTGTAGAAAAAAACCATAGTTCCTTGATTCTATTTCCTGATATTTAAAATTGAAACTCAACAACTTTGTGTCAAACTCATGTAATTTCACAAGTCATCTATATAGAAAACTACACCACCAAATACAAATGTAAGAAGAGAAGTATGCAAGTTTTTAAAAACTTTAAAGTGGACCTATCATGCTATATTTGAATAATATATTGTAGGGCCATACCTATATAAAACATGTCTGTGAAGTTTTTTTTTCAAAATACCAAACAGATCATGCATTTTAGCCATGCCTCATTTCGCTCTATTTGCTCTATTCCAGCCCTGTTTTTGCAGGGGCTGATTCTGTGGCAAATGAGCTGCAGCTGACCACGCCCCCCTGCAAAGGAGGGGGGCGAGGCACGAGCGTCATGTTACCATGCTGTTACCATGCTGTTACCATGCCACGGCAACCTCCCATTCCCCTGATAGGTGGAGAGTTGCCCATATAGGCGGAGCACCCCGTTTCTGACGTCAGAGATATTTCAAATCTGTATCAGTCTGACGTCAGAAAAATTCAAATCTGTATCAGATCCGTTGCAGCCCCGTTTTTAGAGAATTGGGTATGGAGGAAAAGAGAGAGGGTTGTGTTTTCTGACACTTGGTAAGTTCCCTGACACACCAGGGACACATATTCATGTATAAATGACGTACAAATGTGTATTTTGCATGATAGGTCCCCTTTAAAGTATTTTTGAGGGCTTTTCCTTTCAAATGTTGCTTTACGTCCTTCTCAGATTGTCTTTTTTGCAATTGGTTTATCAAGAACTGAATGGTTTATACAGGGCTGTTTGTTGTAAAAAATAAACACAAGAAGATAAGATTTATCTGAGACCTAATTCATCTGACTCTTTTATAATCCTATTTATATTTTGTAAGTTGCAGTGTATTTATTAAACGTCTTGTTTAATTTTCAAATAATGTGGAACATTTGAATCGCCTTGTTGTACAAATTGCCTTTCCTAAATAATCGCTTTTTTGGAGGACATAGTACACATATTTTGTCTCTTGGTGCTTCTTCTCCTTACCTCGGTAGAAGCTGCCTACTCTCCGAGGCATAGACTCAGTGAAGATCATCCGGTTCTCCTTGGAGGATCCCACATCCTCAACATGAGGGTCGTGATACAAGCCGACCTATGAAAACACACACGGATCAAGCAGCCAAACAAAAATAAACATATCTATATAAAGTTCCTCAGTAATTTCATATTTGTGATCAATGATCTAATTTAATTTCAATTGTTTCTTATCGTTAGTGAACACACTCTTTGCTGGCATCAAAAGACAATCGGGACAATCTTAAAGCTTTTCAGCGTTTTTACACTTAAACCAGCGACAACGTGCAGTGAGGCTGTTGACCTTCATAGAAACAGAAAAAGCTATGGAAAACACAGAGTAGGGGGGGGGGTCGGACCTCGTTTTTAGAGCGCTGTGTATGATAAGCAGCAGTGTTGTCCCTCGTAGAGTCTTTGATGGGGGCACAAGGGTGGCTCATGTCTTTAGGTGACTGCTCACTCTGTTGAGGAGACGGACAGCGAGGTCAAAGCAGACTGGAAGAGCAGCATGATGCAGCAGCAATGATAATGTGAGACAGAGACAGTCCCTGCACACACGGTCCACTCGTGAAAAATACACATTTTCAATAAGTTAAAGAAAATATTCACCCAAGACAGTCATGAAATGTGCTTTGAATTTCTGTGTATGTACCATATGTACCCATTATTCGCCTTCTTATTAATATCAACATTTTCTCAAAATCACTTTCACCTATTTCTAGTAAACTGTGTTTATCATTTGTTGTTTAGATTAGGTTTTAAATGCAGGAGGAGAACTTCTTTCTAAAACAACTCAACATCTTGCATTGTGGTCAATTGAGAAATAGTTTTAAATGTAAGGTTATAGTGTCAAAAGGATATCATTGGTCCTGCCCTTCTGCTGACTATGCTGCTATCAGTTTATCATTTCATTTTTTAACAATAGAATAATTTGTCAGAAATTAAACAATTTTTCTTTAAATATCTAAAACAATAAATATATACAAATATATTTTAACTTGTATTTTATCTTGCATACATTCAGATATAAATGTTATTTGATAACCTCAATATAATGCAAGACAATTCTGGTGGAGAATACTAAAAAGCTTTTACTTGATTTAAGTTGCAATTTTTTGCCAAAAAACAGTTATTAAACAAATGTATTATTACATTATGTTATTTATATTATGTTAGTAAATTACATTTTTTACACTATAGTTAATCATGTAAATGATTTGCAAAACAAATGGCAAACCATATCTATGTGTATTTGAATGTATTGTATTTGAGTTAACACGCCAGTGTTTGTGGCTGAACAAACTTTGCCTTTTAAATATTCATCTTTAACTTTAAAATAAAAAAAATACCAAATGGATTATCTTCAC